GGATTTTCAGCTGGTCAAACTAGGACGTCGCGTGCGTGTTTGTAGCTTGTGCATGTCGTAGCGTGCTCACCCAGTCTATCACAGTCCGTTTGGACTCATTCATATGGCATGCAGAGGAGGGAGAGTAAATGAAGCCATTTCTGGGGAATCCACCCTCGAGGCTAATCAGCGCATTTCTCACCATAATAAAACCGAAGCGTTTGAGACTGTCAAGGTGCGCTAAGATTCGTGTTTTTGGGTTACCAAACGTTGGAGATACTCGGTGCCTTTTCAGGCCTGGGGGTCAGATCTAACGGCTCCTTCCCTTACGGTAACCCTCCCTTGTGTGAAATGCCAGACACCCCACAAAATATGGGCTGGCATGTATGGAGCGGAACATGTGCGGCACGCGCAGACGGCCCGTTTAACTTTGTCGGCCACTTCGTCGGTGGTTGTCTTGACTTTTGTATGTCATCGAGAATAACGGTGGAAGTGGCTAAAGGAAGTTGGACAGATACAGCGTAGGCGGGATCCACAAATTCGCGAGCAAGTCACCCCCACGCCCTGAGCTTAACTCGTTGGGCGGCATTGGATGCCGTCGTCCGCGACGGTCGGACCATCACTCGGTGTTCTCGTCTCCAAAAGGTCTAAAACGTGTGTTATGCCGGCATCAGCAAACCACGGCCCTCACAGCCTGGTTTACGCTGGAAGTCCCCTGACACCTGGTTCCCTGCCGATAGATGCGCTATCACTGTAAACTCATTCGCGCCTAAGTCACCGTGCCCGCTGCACCTATCTGTATAGTGCACGGTGGACATCGTAGAAATCGACGGTCGAACTATCGTACTTATTTCCTCTTTTTATTTTCCCAGTCTTCTTACCTGGATTTCACGACAGACCCCATTCTTACCGATCGTTTATAATAGTTTCTAAAGATGCTTGATGTAGTGTAGAACATTTAAATCGAATTCTTGGTGTCGTCGATTAGTGTTTTCGGCCTTTTTAATCCCCAAGCCCTGGAAGAGAAGCTGTAGTTTTTACGGGCGCAAGTCTTAACCTCTTCAAATTTCCATGCTTAATGGGCAAGCAGACGTATACTCTCAAGAAATTCTTGTCAGGCCAATACATTTATATGGGAATGGGGTCCACTGTAGTAACGTTCCTAGACTCCCGCAAATTTTAGGCATACATATAACAGAGGCCTATATATGCCTCTATTCATGTATCAGACTCTAAATAAGTTCTCAGAACGGTAAGGATAGGATGAAGGACCCCAAAGCACCTGTGAAATACAAGGAATACCTACTATAATTATTTAAGTAGGTTTTAGTTCCTCCTGTTCTCCCTCACTTCATGCTCAGTTGATCTCCGTTTCTCCGCTCTGCCAGTGTCAACACACAGTGCGCAGTCTACCGACAGCTACTTGAGATCCTTCACACTACCACTGCAAAATTAATGCTTTAATTGGCCTTACCATTTAAAATTGAATAGGCAAAAGTAAACATATACATTACTGTGCTAGGAAGAATGCACAGTAAGATACCGCATATTCTATGCGTACATGTACTTCTGCCGTCCGTCACTCTGTTCACACTCGCGTCTTCTCTGAGATGCTAAACTCTTGTGAGCGAATGTTCTATGGGACACTGGGTGCTATGTTTCCATTTACTTTGCTTACAATAGGGTATAATACAAGAAAAGTCGGCATAACTGCTCCCCCTCTCTCTCTCGTAGAAGTACGTATAATGCATACACTACAGATAAATTAGGTGTTTAGGTTGTAAAGAATGCAGTACTGTGGAAAAATATACTCAGTACTATAATGTACGCACTGTACTAAGCCCGGTTGTATTTCACAATACGACAATAATAGTATATGATAACAGCACATGCAGTATTACTGGATACGGCATTTTAAACACTCTTTGTCACTGAGTCGTCTCTGCTTATGATTCTCATTCTTAACAAATGAAAGTTAGAAAATATGCATGTAACCTACCGTTTATGAGAAGAATCTGTAGATTATAGCTGCTGGACCCACGTACTTTAAGCGTTTGGTTTTAAGGGCAAAAATATGCTAATTTGTGAAACCGCAAACGCAGAAGTGTGAATTTTTGGGGCACTACTGTAAAACATGCAAGTGGTTGGAGAAATCGATTAAAGACCATTTTAACACAAAAGCGGGGTGTGGGAATAGGGGAGCGACAGTGTGGGCTGCGGAGAATCTTGTCAGGGAACGAAACTTCGGTGCCTATCCAAAAGAATGCGGTAACACGTCTCGGCACGGTTGAGAAGAGCAGAAGTAGGAGCATAAACAGCGCCATTCTCGTGCATGTTTGTTCCGGATATCGCGTTCACTCCAGCGAATTTTTTAATGTGATTTATAAGGTCTCACCGTACTAACAAAAGCCACTGGGTCAGAGTTTGCGTGCAACAGTAGAAGCGGCTGCTATCGGGTTACGCAAACCGGTCTTGCGCGCACAGAATAACTTCGTGCAAGTCACGCGTTTACCATGGCCAAAGGTGGATTAACTGAGTGCAATTTTCCGTGACCTCCCGCTCTCACCTCCATCAGACCTGTCCCTCTATAACCCTTGCTGTCTACGGAACCACACTGCCTCGTATTACCCCTTCACCCCTAGTTCCACACTTGTTTGTGTGCTAAGACGAGCTTCAATCGATTACCCTCATTACTGACATGCTGTACTCTACCCCATTCCCATATAAATATACTGGTCTGACGAGAATTTATCGAACTAACAGTCGGGAGTGGGCACCCAAAAATACTGCCGGCCAAAGCAGCGATCTTATCGCAACTGTCCTAAGCTATGCAGCTGTGCACCAGCGACTGCGGTAGCTCCTGACCTCTGGACGTCATGGTAAAAATTCATAATCCAAGTGCTCGGTCAACGGTGATCCTATTGCAATTGTCCGTAGGTAAGCTACTACAGAATAATCCGCATAGGGACTACTGCGGTCGCTTGTCAGAAGTGGAAGCTTATATTAAGGTTGTTTAACGTAGGGTGGGTCTACGGCGATTGTTTTGCAACTTTCCAAAGGGTATGGTGCCATAGATTGCGCCGCATACCTAAAACTGCGGTCATTCCTCACCTAAGTAAGAAATGGCCATAATGGATAAGCCAAAGGGCTGGTCCACAGCGATCGCATCGCAAGTGTTTGAACGTATGCTGCCATAGATTAAGCCGCATATCGACTACTGCGCTCGCTCTTCAGCTGTGGAAGCTAATGTCAAGGTTGGTAAACATAGGATGGGTCTAAAGCGATCATTCCCCGACTTTCCTGAGCTATGCTGTTCTAAAGTAAGCCGCAAACGGACTAATGTCGTCGCTCGTGACCTAAGCAAGCATATGTGAAGGATGGCAAACTAATGGTCGGTCTTCAGCGATCGTTTCTCAACTCTCCTAAGGTATGCAAGGGTAGATTTAGCCACCTACTCAAATAGGTGTAGCAGGTATTATTTCTAGGCAACGGATATGTGGGTGCCCTCTCCCGATTGTTGCCTTTATCGAAAGCGTATGTATGCTCGCCAATTAGTTTTCTGAATACTTTAGGCTCTTCAACATCGTATAGATACCTCAACCAATTCAAGTACCACGTTGTCCGGAATACGTTTCTAACAATTCTTCCCCCTGAACACATTACTCGACGCGGTTACGCAAAGGAGTGGATTCTCTCGCTCATATGGAGGCGTGATAAGGGATGACGAAAAAGAGAAAAAGGAAGGGCGAAAGAAAGAAAGAAAGAAAGAAGAAGAAGAAGAAGAAGAAGAAGGGGGCGCTGGAAAGGAGGAGGATGAGGATGAGGAGGGGCAGGGAGAGGGGAAGCGACAGGGGAAAAACAATAATAATGCTTATAGCAAATGGAGTCAGGGCTACGGAGAAGACGACTTGTGAGGGGAGGATTTGGGTTAACCGAGTTTATTATCATAAATGACAAAAGGGGAGTTGTCCGTCGACAAAGGCTTATTACTGCATGAGGATTGACCGTCATGGTTGTCAGAACCGAAGGTACCGCCAAAACCTCTTAGTAGTGGACGGGTTGGAACCAGCATTCGCACACCGACAACTTGCGAATGAACTGTGCGAGTCGTTATTTGTGATGTTTCAGAGGCCTTTCGAAGAATGCGGGCTCTCAGAAGACTGGGAGAGTGCATTCATCACCCTGATCAATAGAGGAGGATCATGGATAGACGCCAAAAATTACTGTCCAGTCAATTTAACACGCATCTCCCCCGAAATGATGGAACGCATCGTAAAAGGACAACTGTTGCGCTCCCTAGAGGAAAACAATCCAATGTCCAATGGCCAGCATTGGTTTTGCGGGGATGTTCTCGCTTCAGGAGCATTCTTCATTCACGTGAGACGACGGTCGCAAACAGGGGAACTGTAGGAGTGCCTTTGAAAGTGTACCAGACCAACCCATTTTACAGAAAATCTGGGAAATAGGAATTTAAGGAAAAACTTTCAAATTGATCGAAATCGTCCTGCCTTATGGAGTATAAACAGTTGTTGTTGGCAATTCTACCTCGGATTTGGTCAAATTTGTAAGTGGCGTCCCTCAGAGCTCCGTTTTAGATCAACTATTCGTCCTGATCTATGTGAATGACAGCACCGGAAAACTGGATTGTGAAGCTGTCCTGCATGCCGACGATACAAATTTTGGGCTGAAATCAACTGTGCCGATGACGCAGAAAGTTGCAGTCTAAAAGGTGGCTTCTCAAGTTTGGTGTGTCTAACTGCGTGGTCATAGACCTTAACGCTGGCCAAAAAGTGTCTCCAACACACCAATACTTTATTAACGGTACTGCATTAAAAGATGACGAAACACACAAAGATCGAAAAAAAACAAGACGAAGGCACGATCACTGGGACGGTAGATTAAGTGGTCTTAGCTTTCGAACTCCAACAGGAGTTCAGCATCAGAGACTGGTAGAGTGCAGCAACGAATGAACATTTATATCGTTGTGCCGTGAGGAGTGGGGATTACGTCCGTGGCTAGGTATGGTTCGTGCTGCCTGTACCACAGTGATTGCCCGACGTGGTAAAGGCGTTTGTCCCTCACGGCGATATGAGCTGCGCCATCTGGCTGCGTGGGCGGAGCGCGTGGTAACACGCAAGCAAATCAATGTGTCTATTGATAGAGTTGGTGTCCAACACCCACGCCTCCAACAGTTCTCGCCCTGTCTTTTTGTTGCCGACCTGCGCCAATATCCGCGTGTTGGCGAAGTCGAACTCATGGCCTTCCTCCAGCGTGTGAATGACGACTTGAGATAGTGGGTCGCCTCTCCGAACGACTCGTTTGTGCTCAAGTATTCGTGAGCTGAGACATCGTCCTGCCTGGCCTGTGTAGTGGCAAGGACAGTTTTGACACGGGATTTGATAGACTACGCCGACTGCTCACCTGCGTCCATCCGATCCTTCATTTTCATGATTCTGCTACGCACGGTAGCCACCGGATGATGAGCGACGCCCACGCCTTATTCTGACGCGATGCGTTCTGTGACCTCGGACACACTTTCATGTACGTTAGGGAGTGCCAAATTGTTGGTGTCTCTCTTCCGTTTGTCCGGCGTGGGTGCGTCCGTATGCAGCGGCTGATGAAGCTATTTGGGTAGCCATTCTTTGTTAATTGGTCCCGGAGATGCCGTAGATCTTGCATCTTTCCTTCGGGCTCGATACAGTACGTTTTTACCCGGTCGAAAGCGCCCTCACATAGCCCCGTTTGTGCACCAATGGGTGTTTGCTATGATAGTTGGGGACCTGGGTTCTATTGGTCGGCATGTGGGTGACTGCGAATTTGGTGTCGGTAGAACATTGTAAGGAGATGGTCCAGAAGGCATCAAGTGCGTTGAACTGGATTAGACGGTCGTTTAAGATATTCCCCTTTGAACTCTTCGAAAAACTCCCCCGCGTATCCGTGGGACCTCACATTTGACTCATGAAATGTCATTCTGGACACCGTGGGTGAAGAAAGGTATTGGTCTCTTTAAGCAGATGCAGTGCAAAGCAACGAAGATGGTCGATGGTCTTAAGGATTTACCGTACTCGGATAAACTGAAGGAGCCTGACATTTCCCCCACCTTACAGGCACCTAAGCTGTAACCTGTTCAGGACATTCCCAATTGTCCGTGGCCATGGTTGCTCGCTGCAACTGGAGGACTTCATTGAGTTTGTACACACACAACTTACCTACACGGTCATTGGTGCAGGGTAGTAACGACCAAAACCATATTCAATTCTTAAAAAACAACTGACTATCGATTTTTTCCCAACCTGATTATTTATAGCCAGTCTTGTAAACAACTCGTGTCCTACTCCTCCTTTTCGCGTTGAACAAAAACAGTCTTTTTTCCTTTGCGTTGTATTTAGACCTGAGGACCATTTTAAATAGCATTGCCGACAAAGACAAGAGCGACTGGAATGGCCATTTCTGGCTTATAAGCCGCCGTCGCTCATTCCAATATCCCTTGTCTTGGTCGGTAATGCTATTTTGCCTATATCATGCGTCTCTTTGAGGCTGCTGGTTGGGCTCGAGAGACAGAGCCCTATGACAGAATGGGCGAATGAATTCCGTAACACGATCGGTGAGCGTCCACTTATCACAATTCCAAATTTTTGCAATTATACGAAAATGTAAGTATGCAACCAACTGGGCATTAACAAGGTCATCAAGGACTCTGCCTGTAATCCATCAAATATACTATACTATGGTGTACTTCTAAACGGGCCACGCAGTTTATGCGTTGGACCATCCCAGGGCTTAGAATGGAGTCTGGCAAGCGTTATTGAGAATGCACACCCATAACAAATGCCAACGTTGGAATGTGTGATGGCAGGTCCAGTTGCCGGCTTGCGCCACGCCAACTGGAATCCGTGCTGTCTTCTCCCAACTTTTTGTAGTATGAAGTCCTGTTCAGTGTCTACAGTGAACCAGGGAGTGTGGCGGTGAGGTGAGGTACCGGACTAATTTATCTTTGACAGTTTAGTCCCGTTTTCTTTGCCCAGATTGCTTGTTTGAATGTGACGAAAAACAACACACCACAACCAGCTTCGCTGGTCTGCTTAGCTGTCGCGCTCTGTTGTCAGGTTAATTAACGTTCAGGCTTTCTATATTATTCACTGGTCGGTTTTACTTGCTGCCTTTAAGGCTGACTCGTGAGATATAATTCGTTAGTTGGTGAAAACATTTCCATCTACGTCAGCGGTATGCCTAGGTGCGGGTTTACACCGTACCAACCACTTGCGCTCTCTTCCGCCCCCGCTTCTCTCGGCTCTGTTTTTTCACCGGGTCCAGGGGGGGTGAAAAGGTGGAGTTAGTTAGATGCATCGAAAGTCTACTATCACTTTGAACTAACAGGTAAATTGCCGTCCCCCCTCTCAACCTGTTGTGAAACCCGCGGTGGACATCGGCGGCGAAGACTGTCGGATTGGCATTGTACTTTACGACACCGTAGTCGGAGGAATTGACCAATGAGAAACCTGGGTGGCAGTAGGTTGGGCCGCAACAACAAGGGTGGAGGACGTGGCGACAGTGGTCGTATCCTCTTGCCAGTTGGCTGCTTGCACCGCAGGTGACTCAGCTCCACACCGTGACGCCGATCGATATTTTGATCCCCAATTATTGATTGCAGCTGAACCTGATTTAGGCGCCCACTTAAAACTCCCGCCAGCGAACAGAAGATCAACAGTCGCCTCTGGACTTGGTTGAACTTTTGCCGCCGCTGACGTCGGAGCCGCCTGTACTCACCTCGCTGCAGTTATAACTCTCCTACTAACTCTGTCTGTGTGACTTTTGGTCTGGAAAACTCATAGTTTTTCGCTTATGTCACCTGAGAGGGGTGTCTAGACATGCTAAAGCCTCATCCAGTGTAGGTACGGTTGATTAGGTTGTCGCATGGCTAGAAACATCGATCGTAACTGACAGTTAATAGTACTCGTGGGTACGGTCAGCAATCTTCGCAGGTATTTTGGTCAGATGTGGTTATATGGCCGCACCTGAGGTAAACAAATCCCAGCCGCCTCTAATACGTGGCCGGTGGTAATAAGGGGTTTTTACAGGTGGGACCGGGAAGCGCACAGGCGAAGAGGTCAAGCAGTTGCATGCAAAAGAAAAGATATTGGGGATGAGCGGTTGTACTTTGAGTGGTTGAGAAACAGTTGCCCTAACCCCTAACCATAACCCCTAACTCCTACCCCTGACCCTAATCCCTAACCCCTAACCACAACCCCAACAGTATTGCGTCCATCAGGTGGGGCTACATGACCACATCTCACCAGTATTTGAACAGGGGCGGAGAGGCTGGTATGCGCAAGGATATCTTGCACAGAAGAAAACGATCGTTGAGCGAAAATCTGTTTGAGTGTTGTGATATCCACATCTTGTCCGCCTAAGCAACCGAACTGGCTTCCTATCGCCGAGATCTGTCTCAGAACTCAGCCGCTACAGACGTTTAGGACTGATATGGAGGTAACGGAGATGAGGGTCGCCTTTCTTGCAGCTGAATACCAGCAGTCTGTCGGTGATTTAGCGGAGGTCTCTGGGGATTTTTCCCCTAACGAGTGACTCGACCGCAATCAGCCAAGATGACACAGTGTCTCTCAGTGACGCGACCAGGAGGTCGAAAGAGTAAATGTCGGTTATCCGCTGAGTGGTAAAATCGGCTAGACGGCGTCGACAAGGACTCAGTGACTGGTGCGTAGCCGCTTCGACTACAGCGCACTACTGTGTATGTGTGCGTGTGGTGAGTGGTCTTGGCAACTTAAACCGATTTTAAAATACAATCAAAAAAACTTTAGACCGGTATAGGTCCGGTGAGGACTGAATATGCAAGCGCACTGAGCCGAGAAAGTCCAAGGATTCATGTAGTACAGGAAATAGGTCAGCGTTAGTTTTATCAGCAGGGCTGACGGACGCGGCAACTAACGGAATCTGCGAAAGGCATTGAGAAGACGCGCAATTCTGTCATATGCTTGTTTTATTACCTCAACGAGGTGTCGAAACGGACCGCACAATTTGAAATATCTTAATTAGGGCGCCTAAACGGGCGGAAGCAGATAAATCAAGGTCATTTATTGAAGAAGGTCGGATTGGGTAAGGCAGTGTGCGCCAGGAAAACTTAACCCGGACCCTGACCCCAGCCCTTCCACCAACCCTAATCCTTAATCCAGCCTTAGCGCAAAATGTAATCATGGTATTAAGCCTAGTCAGAAACATTAACTTGATAGGACATCTCTCCCAAAATCAAATAAATAGAGGGGCTTTAGCGATAAACATGGGTTTACATATCCAATCGTTACCAACATGACCGACCGGAAGTGCGAAGGACGGGATCAGTATGGTGCCGGTCATGTAGACCCCAGAGAGACCGTTTGCAACCAAATGCAGCCTTCTGTCGGCAAAAGTAAATAATCTATTTCATAAACTAACGCAAGGAAAAAGGCTATTGAGACAAGAACTGTAGGTGCGAGGAGGCAGTTGTTATTTTTAAGCTCGTCTCCGGTTAAAGTGACCATTTTTATTGCCGCCTGTCGCTGCCCATCGCCCTTTTATTAAGATTTGTTCTCAAGACCTATACCTTAGAACAGTTGCATTCAGAACTTCCAAAATAGTCACTAGGCAACTAATTCAGTAGGTTTTTTGGCTTCGATCCACATTCCTGCTAGTTTTGGGAGACGCCCTGGCGTTTTATCTGCCTTTAGGTATCTCAAATAAGTGAATTTGTTTTGCTACGGGGGAAGCGCTTTTACCGTAAGCCTGCCGCGAAAGCCCGGACGCTTCGTCGGCGACCCTTCGCTGTTGGACGCAACGTCTAGGTTTTTTTAAACTAACCCGCCCTACAAGTCGCTAAAACGCAAAAAGGGACCGTTTAAACAAAGGGCCGTACGAGTGACGCCATCGCGAGCGCATACAGGCTAAAGCTTGTGTACACAAAGTTCCCTCACCACTGCCCAATATGTACGAGGTGCATGTCATGCGAGGGGTTTTTCTAAGATCAAACTACGTGCATTGTGTCTACACCAGCCAAAAGTAAAGGCCGTCGTCAACGAGGACCGCTGAAGGACAGACTGTCCTAACTCAGGCTTAATAACACGCTGTCGGGGTATATTTCCGACCCAAAGTAACTGGGGGGTTGCTGTACACAGCATCATGGAGAGGCAAAATTGCGACAATGGGTCACCACTTCTATAAGTCCGCAAAAATTGGCGAGGTTTGGTCCTGCAGCCCCACCTGAGTGGTACCATACGGTTAGCTTTCTAAAAAACAATTTAGTAGA